TGCTTCTGTTTCTCAGCTCAGCACAAAATTGACAAAAGGCTGAAATTGACTTAAATTTTATTCTTCTTTAATCAGTGTAAGTCGTTGCCCGTGAAATAAGATGATAATCACTATCAGCCATAATAAATTCCTGTTCAAAAAATTTAGAATTGGGTCCGGTTTTAAATGCACTATGGGCCAGAAATCGAAAACTTTTCCGAAAATTATTTTTTTGGTCTAAATGATAGCTTTTTCATTCCCATTTATGAAAATACTTACAAAAGTGACCAATTCAACCAAAGTTCCGAGATATGGCTTTTCAAAGTTTTGATTAAGAGCATTTTCTCGCCCCTTAAAAATTGTCACTACTTTTCATTGGATTGATGAAACTCTTTCATTTTTTTTATTGGTAGCTTTAAATAAGAGCTTTATAGGATAGTAAAGATTTAAATTTAATTTTTTAATAATTCGTGGTGATAGTTTATGCTTTACAATTGCATGAAAATAAGTATATATACCGAAATTTATTAAAATTAGTTGATTGGATGCTTATATGTTCTGAATCGAAAGGAGAATTACCTTCAAATTAAAGCAACACATCAAAGCTTTGCTCATTCCAGCTTTATTCATACGTTAATTGGATAAAATATGATCTTTAAATATTTAAGAGTATTTTTATGCATATAACATTAAATTTCAATATTTAGAATTATTATAAAATAAAATTTGATAAAAAAAGATAAGAAAAATGAATGTAATTTGCAAAAAATTATAAAAAATTACCTTAAAGTAAAAAAAATTATGAATTGTTGCTCTAGGAGTGACATTTTAACATAAAAACATAGAAATTTCAAAAAATATCAATATCAGAAGATTTAAAACAAGTTTTGATTTAAAATAATTTAAAAATAAGTAAAATTTGTTGAAAAAATGTATAAAAATGATTTTGTTGAAATTTGAGTAAAAAAATTGTTCAAACTATGACATATTTATACTCAAAATGTGCGCCTTGATGAGATCTATTGATCTAAAGCAAAAACCTAAAATTTTGAAAAACGCACAAAATTTTTCATTTTTTTTTTGTTTTGAAATGTATTTCTGGTCACACTTCAAAGTCAATTTGCTCGAGATTGTCTCAGTAACCGAACTCAAGCTGATTGTATATCCAAAGAGCTTTCAAAGCATGTAAAAAATTCCACTCCTATGGGCTATCCTGAAAAGTTATGGGAATTTATGTCAAAAAGTTGCAGTTTTTTTCGAAGAAAAGACTTAATTTCATCAGCAAAACTCTACTAAAACTTTAATTTATTTTAAGAGTGAAGTCCTAGACGAACGAAATCATACTGAACACGTGCTTTTTTGAAAAACCTTAAAATTCATAAAGTTAAAAGATGCATACTTAAATGTGTACTATCCTAAAATAAAGCTCATATTAAAGTTACCAAATAAAAAAAAATTTAAAGAGTTTCATCAATCCAATGAAAAGTAGTGACAATTTTTGTGGGGCAAGAAAATGCTCTTAATCAAAACTTTGAAAAGCCATATCTCGGAACTTTGGCTGAATTGGCCACTTTAGTAAGTATTTTCATAAATGGGAATAAAAGAGCTATCATTTAGACCAAAAAAATAATTTTCGGAAAAGTTTTCGATTTCTGGCTCATAGTGAAATGTCACCTATCTCATTCACAGTTGAATTTTATTTATTTTTTCTCTATGTTCAAATCTAAAGTAGGGTGCACTGGGTGGCCTTAGAAACCAGCCTTGGGTTTCAAATTAAAAAAAAATTATCATTTTCATACAATTTTCAATTTTCATGATAAATAATGGATTTTTCATGATAATTACAAAATTTGATTAGAATGTATTGCATATAAACATAATGTAATTGATTTTGCTGTCGGGAGATATGCAAGAGGTTGTTTTTAAGAAGATAAGGATCATGTCAACGAAAACTGTTAGATATATTCATAACTTGAACTTATGAGTAAGCTTTGAAATTAAGATATAATCTAGAGAATTAAAACCAGATAAGAGCAGTAAAATGCGCTCTATCCAAATAAACATCAGACCCTCTCTTAATGCTTTTATTTGTGATTTTCACATTATTATTATTTACTCAATATTATGAGGAAAGAAAGAATGAAAGAAAATAATAAGAAATAATAATAGTAGTTACGAAAGCAAATATGAAACTGCAGACGATCATCGCACGAATAGAAAATAAGGAAAAATTAAAAATAAAGAAATTTGCACTAAAAATAGCATCACTTGCGGGGACGGAAAGCTATTTTTGATACTCATCAAAGTGATGCTTGAATGTTAATGAGTCGCGAGATGAGATTTTTTTTTTCTTTTTGAGAGATTTTCTCACATGTATTTACACTTTACTTGTTTTTATTTATTTTTCTCACAAATAATCAAGTACAGGAGCAACGATTATACTCAAAAGTCCTTTTCGTGTCTTCCAATTTTTTATTTAATTTTGTGAGAAAAAATGAAGGAAAAAAGTTTTTCAATTAGAGTTATTATTACTATTTTTTTGTGTCTAAGCGAAGCGCTGTCAAGTTTTCCATAATAAAAATTAAATCGAGCGCAAAATCTTTTTTTTTCATTATTTGCTAGACAAATTGTTATTTGTTGGAGAAATTAATAAGAAGAAGTTCAATTGCTATATGTGAAATTATTGTTTGTGTCAATATTGAAGAGAACGATAGCATAACTCATGTGTTTCTGTTGTTTCTATCGAAGAAAATCTCTCAAATGTTTAAGTATTTCTTAATGTAAGTGGAAAACTCGATGTCGAATGTGTGAAATGATTATTAAAAGAACAAAATAAGATTTTTTTGAATGTGATGACGCGTCTTAATAGTCTCATGATAATCACGTGTTTATTATGCTATAAAATTGAATCTTTCGTGAGGGAAAATTGGGTAATTGTCAATTGAGACATAAATTTTAAAATACAGGAGATTAGGGAGGTGGGGAGGGGGTTTATAGAGAATATTTTTCTAAAATTCTAACCAATTTCAAAGAATTTAAAAAGAATTGAACATTTATCGCTAACCTAGCTCCACTACTGCCAATGGAAAATAAAAACGAAACTTTTCAATTCAATTAATCATGATGGAAGAAAGAGTCCACATTAAAAATATGAGAACATCATAAATTATGTTAATTAATTTAATTAAAAGACGGTCCATTGGATGAATGAGCAAAGATGTACATGAATATGAATTGGAAAGCATAAACATAAACACGTAGAATAATTTGTATAAAAGAAGGACGTGATGGATGTTGATGATTTAGAAAATGCTGTCTAATCAGCCAAATTAAATGAAATTTCTCATTTTATTCATATTAATGTAAATTAAGTAGTTTTGAGGACAACTTTCGACTGTAATGATTCTAAATGAGATTTTTATGTCACTTAATTTTAAATATTACCATTATTCAGGATATAATTGTATGCATACCTGAACGAACTCATAATATCATGAGTTTCAGACGATGACAACATAATTCATGAAAGATAAAAGAGCAAAAACTCATTAGGGGTCGTTCATAAATGACAAACCTCAAAACTCTCCCACTCTTTCACAGTTGACAGAAAGTGACTCAGTCTAAAACTTTGAAATAATTTATGAACGATCTTAGTCAGTGAAATATTCAAGAAAAAAATGTCTAAACTTTAGCTTAGCATTCAGAATTTTTATGATAATTAGATTAACTTGAAATTTCTTCATCTCATCTTTCCATTACTTCCATCTTTCTTATTTGGCACGCTAACAAATTGAATACATGAATATTTTAGTAACTCAGTTTAAGGGTTGGCGCTCTTTAAAGTTTTATGTCAAGAATAGGTCAGTAATAGCTTAAATTGTAAATCTTCTATTTATTTGCAAACATTTTTAAAAAAAGAAGCTAAAAATTAGATTAATTACTTGATTTTCACAGAACTGAAATAATAAATTGTAAATTGAATTAATGTAATTAATCTTAAACAGAAATTGTGACATTGATAAATCTCATTTATGTCTGAAGCGGGAATATTTTGTTCCTGAGAATCGCCAAATTAAGATTTTTAGCGTCATTGACCTTGGTATAAGATTAAATTCATGTAGAAAGACCAGACTTTGACAACTTAATAGTTGAACTTGAATTTGACTCTAATTCTGCATGTAAAAGTTAAGCGAACTTATCTGAACTTTATTCAAAATCAAAGTATCCATAAAAAGATTAAGAAGACAAAAACATCTAAGTTTCAGATTCTCATGACTTTAAGAAATCTTCCATTGATGCAACCCTGAATACATCTCATTAGACAACTATCATTTTGCATAAATTCACTTGTTCAGAAATTTTTTGGAGACACAAAAATGTCACGACAAAATATCTTGACAGCTCAATGATTTTTATGCAGCATATTAAATAAAATTTGATTCAATCAGCTTTCAAATAACTTTTCTTAAATTCACAAAATATTCAAATCATAGATCAAGGCTTGATATTGTGACATAAAACTTACTAGACACATCAAAACAATAGAAACGTGATGTTTATGTACACAAAAAATCATTCTTAAGTTCATAATAATTTTATTATATCAGCATGTGTAGTCACAAGTCTAAAAAAGAGGCAATGTCGATTAAATGGAAATTTCTATTGATTGTGTAACGCAAATTAAACAGACGAGTTCATGAACTTGATGTTTACATGCAAAAAATAAGAATTACTAAATTCACGTGAGTTACATTTGGTCTAATTGAGTCTAAGACATAAAAGAGTATGTAAGAGTATTGGTGTGAAACCTAATCAAATTTAAAAATCGAAGCCTCAAAAGTGTCAATAAAGAACTCACTTGAAAGCATTAGCCACATTATTGTGGTTATTCGAAGTTCTCTATCGGATCGGAAAGGACCTGAAAAATAAGTAAAAAGTGCCTTTGGAAATTTAATTTTTATATAAAAAATCAATTAAAGTGATAGAAATAAAAGAACAATCATAGCAAAAGTTCAATCATAATGGTTGAAGTTGAAGTGGTTAAGGACCAAACCGATGAAATTTTAAATGAACAAAAAATGTGCACTCTAGCTGTTCCATCAGGCGATAAAAGTGAATCAGAATTAAGTGAAGAAGAGGACGATGGAGGGTAAGGGGGAAAAATATCTTTTTCCATTACTTCCATCATTCATTTATGCTTGGTTAGCAATCCCCACAAAATTGAGAATTAAATTCAACATGAACATTTTGTGTGAACTGTGTGAAGTAAAATTTACAAGCTTACAAATTGGGAAGTTGTTCGTTAATGACGTCTGTTAATGTTTAATGACGAGTTTGAGAGCATCTATAAGGATTTCTTTTAAAGATTCTCAAGGCGTAAACACTCGAAATCAATCCCAAAAATTCTTGTTCTACTTGACATATTATTGACGAATCTCATTTCAAATCTCTTTTGTAGTTTTTTATCATTGGCAATTTAAGGATTAATCCCGACTGTATATGCCTTGCAGTCTGTTATATGATTTTGTAAAATATCTCATTCCATAGAATCAAAAACGTATCTAGAATTAAAGAGAATTTTCAAACCTTTCTTGGAAGAATAAGTTCTGCAGTTCACAAAAAAACCAAATACATTATCATTTTTCAATCCTTGAAAGACGTCATTTCTGAAATTTACCCCCTTTTTAAATTTAATTCAATTTATCGATACATGCCTTTTCATGTTTGACCATAAAACCTCATAGTCGTGAGTTGAGACAATTTTTTTCCATTTTCCCCAACCCCACCTCATTCCACTCCAAACCACAACTAAAATGTTTTTAACTTAATTAGTGGCTTTTTCACACCATACAGTGGGAAAATCAAATGAAATTGCTAGTTTGAAAATAGCTCGATGACATCGATTTCTTGTAATAAATTTAAGTCGATGAAACATGTTGTGCTTCAATAAGCGATATTTGCCAGTGAAAAATAAGTAAGAAGACAAAACAATGTGAACAAATATAAATGAAATGTAACGATAAAAAAAGAAGAAGATAAATATAAAATTGAACTAAAGCACAGCACAGCTGAAATGAGAAACAGATTTTGTGTACATACCAAAGAAAGAAAGAAGAGATCGAAGATTGAAGGTCAAAAGGGAAAGAAAATTTTTTTTCTTTTCATTTTTCCAAATCATTAATGATATAAAGCAGGAGAAACGACGAAGAAAAATGAAGAAGAGATGAAAAGAACAGAAAAAAATACTAATCTTAATCCTGTTGCATTTGAAAGCTTTCCAATTTCATTTTTCGTGTTTCATTTCTCTCGTTCGTTATAAATCAAATTGACTAAGTGTTTCATGAAAAGATGTAGTTAATATTAGAGACTCGTCTGAATGTTTCTAGGACGGACTGTTGCACGAATAATGTTCTCGTTTCTTGGAAAGAAATATGAAATGAAATTGAATTTATTTAATGTGACAAGTGTAGGATAACTACTTGTGAGTTATTATAACGAGCTCTCCTTTTGGATTTGAATTGTGAATAGTTTTGTGTTTGCGGTTAATTTACAATTTTACTTAAAATTATTTGATTTTGGATAAAGCCCAAATTTCTTTGATTGATCATTATGTCATCCTTTGTAATTGGCTTATTTGTCAGTGTCAGGAATAAATGTGTGAAAATGTGTCATTTTATAAGTTTAGATTAGAATAAAGAGCATGAAAGGATTGTGAGCTTACCTAATAGGATTTTATTTGAAACAGACTCATGACATAAGACGTTGCTAAAATTAGAAATAGAAAAATAAGAACTTAATGGTTTGGCTTGTTAAAGACTTTATTTACTTGAATAAGAACTCAGAATATCAAACCTTAAACTCAATTCTTGGTAATTCAGAAAACATTGAACAGTTCTTCAAGCTAACCACATAGAATTTGCTGATTGAATTTCACAAATACGTCGTTACATGTTTCCCAAATAAACGAGTTTCATTATGAAATCAAGCGATATCAATCAGTTTCATCATTGGAAATTGAGGTTAAATATTCCCCAATCTTAATATCATTTGAGTCTTTTTGGTCTCTTAAGAGTTGAAAAACAAAGAAATGGTTCGAAAAAAATCGAAATTTCATATCGAGTAAAATGAATTGAAATAAAATGTTACTCAATTCAATGAGAGAACGTCAAGCATTGTAAAAAATTTTCATAATCTATTCAGATTCATTCCGCAAATTCTCTGCAATTGAATTCAAGCTGTGTTAAAAGTTCATTCATCACAATGAAATCAATTTTTGCACCTTGATTGTGACTAAATAAAACTATTGAAACAAGAAAATGAAAAGAAAAATCTAAAATGAAAGTTTTTGAATTTCATTAAAACTTTCAAGCCAATAAAAAGTTTAGCAAAAGTGTGCTGGTGAAATTGTTTGGCCTCTAAGTTGTTGACGTATTTGTAATAATATTAAAGTTTCAGCATAAGGTGAATATGTAGTGTATGAAAAGTAATGTGAGAAAGAAGTTTAATACGAAAGTAAAATAAAACGTGATGGAAAAAATGAGAAGCCACAAATGTTTTGATGCTCTTAGCACGATAGCATGCATTGTAGAACAAAAAGTTTTGCTAAGTATTAAAGGAAATACTTTCGATTTTTCTTTCTCTTTCGAGTTTTTCACGTGTACATCCTCTCCTGTTTGTTATAGAATTTATGAAAATCTACTTATGGGCCTTTTGTATTTCTATGTAAACAGGGACTGGTATGGAAAGTCTATGTAAATGTGGAACGAAAGGGTAGTAACGCAATGTGTTACTTGGGTAAAGCTTCTTTACAAATCTTAGCAATTGAATCAGTCAGACAAAGTAATAACAACATCTTATTTCTTAGTAAAATTCACAAAAAATTCGTTTTAATCGTTTTAATGTAAAATAGGGTTGAAAAACTTTTCTTTTAATGCAAAACAGAAAAAAAAAATCCATTTAAAAATTTGAAAGTATGATAAATGTTTTCACAACTTAAAATGTGCAATAAGCTTTAAACTTCTTCCTGTAAATAAAGCAATTCAGAAAGGCACGCTAAGAATAAAAGCATAATAAAATTTTACAGGATATCACGAAGTTAATACATTAACGTGCTGTGTTTACAATTGTAAAGGAAGAAGACATTTTAAAATTTATTTACGTGTGCCTTAATACATCAATCAATTTGAGAAGGCAAACTGAAAATAGATGAGGAAGTAAAATTGTTTTTTGTTTTTGTTTTCCTTTTCATGATTTTCTGTCAATAAAGTTGACGACAATGATGATGTTGTTTACATGCAAGTAGCATACGATGTTTACCAAACTTAGATATACGAAAAATGGAAAGGATTCTTATGTAAACGTATAAAAACACTTAGTTCTTTTTTATTTCTCACTTTAACTCACTATCAAGAATCTCTGATAGCTTTCGATTTCATTTTCGTGAACTACATTACAATTTACTCATGTGTGTATATCTTAATGTAGACGAAAATAGAGTCCGTTACTTACACCACTTTTCCGGCATCTATTTCCACGCAATGTATGGCAAATTTCCTCCGTGCAAATAAAATAAATGAGATAATTTGCACGCACATGATATTCTTAAAATTATTAGACGCATTTTGGTGTTTTCTGTTGTTCAACATTAATCTTGGCTTAAAGCAGAATGGATTGAAAAGAAAATTATGAAGATTCATTTTTTAAAACTAAACTCTCATTTTAGGAAGTTGATTTTCTTGATTTAATGTATACAAGCCTAAGGAAAATACTAGGAATAAAGTTTAACTAAAAATTCAAAATTTAATTAATTGAAGTCGTATTCAGTATAATCTAGGATGTATAAATTAGCCGGGTATGCAGCATGTTTGTTCAATTAGTGCAAACCTAGTCTACACTACTAGTTTACATGACTAGGGATAGCCTAATCTAAGCCCAAAATGCTTTACTCTAATGTAAACCGAGCAACCAACCTCCCTGACTCATCTAAACATTGAAATCTTCTCCTTAAAGCTTGACAATTGTAAAGGTAGATGTGATGATTTCCGCAATATGATTTCAACAACTTCTTGAAATTTTTTGATAAAGGTCTGACAACATTTTTCAATTTTTATTGAGATATAGGTGAAATGAAACCTCAAAAAATCAATAACTTAAGTGTGCATAAATTTCCATCACAAACAGAAATGAAAATGTGAACAAAATGGAAGAATAAACATAAAATCAATCATATTTCTCAATTTATTTTTAAAACGGGAATAAAAAAAAATACACAATTGAAGAATAAAGTCGACATCACGTCTTAAATTTTGATTGTCCATAGACATTTTGTCCATAAAATTGCATTTAATTTGAAATGAAGGATATAAAAAACGTAGCAATTCTTAGTAGCTTTGTATAGTGCAATAAATATTGTAAATGTAAGAGGAATAAGAAGGGAAGATTGATTACACAGACATATGAGCAATAACCCTAAACATTAACGATAAAAAAGGCACCCATACAGGCCATTAACGGACATATAAACATTTTTCACGTTTAATGAAATAAATAAAGCATCCTTAAAAAAGTGATGACAAAAAGTATTGACTTTTGTCCTTTCTCTTTTTTCCAATTTTTATAGAATTTTGGACCTTTCACGTTTGGGTTGTCGTGTACATTTTGAAATAGACGACAATTCAACTAATGAAAGCGATCGTAAAAATTATGATTTTCGTAATCGCAAAAAGTGAGTGGATTTATATTTTCATATTTTTTTTTCTCCTTTAAAAAAAATTTCCATTTGCAGTAAAATTCTTTTAATGTTGAATAATAAAAATTGCGATTAAAGGGAGTTATTCATTAATAATGTCTATCTAATGCAGTGGTTCTCAAACTGTGTGCCACGAGACTATTCAGGTTTGCCGCAAATAATTTTAATTAAAAAAGGGGGCAACGGGCCAAAAAAGTTTAAGAAGCACTGGTTTAATAATTAATAATGATTAGAAATGATTAGAAACTTAATGAATGTCTAGAAGTTTGAGGATACAGGCTTGTAAAGAGAGAGAGGTCACCACCTTAAAGATTGAAAAAGCATGCTTGAGCACTTTATTATTAGCTGATGCAATCTTGAATCCAAAGCGGGGATGCACATTAACGATAATCCAATAATGAAGATTTTACGTCACTTATGCATCACTCCTAATCAAGAATTTAAAGCCACGTACAGTAATAATTTTATTCTCATGTTAATGGTGTTATTGATTTTTTTTTACTTTCCACATCTCGTCATTCGCTTTAATGCTTTTACGCTTTATATCTTCACAAACCTGTGCTAAACTTTAATACTAATTGTGTTATCAAGTGTAATTACACGTCTGTCTCTATTTTTGCTCCGTTCTCAAATTGTCATCACCAATAATGAAATTCAATGTCAAGATGAAGGGAAAAAAAAGTTTCTTTATTCGATTTCGATGTGCTCTCACCTTCTTAATGTATACATTACTTCGTCTATTTGTTCATCTCCTTTCTTAACATTCTTCTTTCCTTATCACATAAGCATGATTCCAATCTGTTGTTAAATGTAATGCTATTGTTGCTGTTCCTGCATATATAATATTTGTTTCTATTCGACTATCGTATCCAAAACATAAAATGAGCTTATTTGTTGTAACATACGTAAATGTGGATTTCCATTTGTACTAATGATGACTTTTCCTTTTTTTTCTTTTCTCTTTCTAGGTCCGAGTAAGTACCTCGATTTACATTAATAACAATATCCCACGATTATAATTTATGCATCATCAATAATTGATGCTAATTGATCTCATTAATGTTATGATGTGCCTTTAATGTGAGTGCAAATATACGAGAGTCATTGTTGTGGCTGTTATAATAAGTAAGTGTAGCTAATAATGTAACATTATTACATTGTAAATTTACACACAATATATAATTAGATATTCATTTACATGATCTAATTACAAAGCAAATATAATGTATTTATAGACATTTTTGAAAATCGATAATCTAGAATATAAATTGAATTTCCACTTGTTTAATGGAGTGTCTGATAATAATGTTTATTGCTGCTTAGCTTTGGTGCTGGTTTTGACACTTTGTAACCACAAAAAGCTTCGATATAAAAATAATACAATGTTGTCAACAAGTTGTTTAAGTGCTTCGAGAGCTAAGACAATTTACTTTTCAATAAATAGGTCATTATGATAAAATACATAACGATTGCTGCTCCTGAATTCTTTTTGAGAATAGATCGTTGTTCTTTAAACCAGAAAATCCACAAGCAAAATGTCCAAACTATAAATAAAATATATTCCATTTACCTATTAGTAAAGCTTAATTCTCTGAATACATAAATAAATTTCGCTTAAAAGCTTTAGCTCTTTCCTCTAATCGGATTATTGGATAAAATTCAGATATCAAAATTTTGGTTTTAATCCATTTTAGCTTTATTTACACAGCTGATGTTGTTTTACTTCTTAGAATTCTACTTTTCATGATACAAAGTATCGTATCCTTTTGAAAGCCTTTAAGCTGACCATCAATTTTTTTATTAGCGAGGTTTTTTGAAGTCTTCGTTTTAGAAAATTATTTTTAGCCTTCGTCAAATTGCTATTAAATCGTTTAAAACATCCTTTATGGGTTTAGGCTCTGAAAATTGTCCGATAACGCTTCATTCACGTACAATAAATTTTCAGCCACAACAATTCTTGATAAAATTCCTATTGCGGAATTTAATTTATGATGAAATTGAAACAATTACGAAATTTAGCATCTAATCAGTGGTTCGCATGAATGTTTCAATTTGCAAATCGAATTCCAAGGAATTTGAATCAATAAATTCGTAAATTGTATGAGGGATAGGGGTGTATGTTGGATATATAGATTCGGTGCGGCAGTTTAGGGGAAAAATCGTTCTAATCGATTAAAAGCTTATTTAATTTGCTATGGTTGTACAATTATGTAAGGTCGCATGTTAGCAAAGCTTAAAGTCAACTCAAAATAGCCTGTCAATTTATTACCAACCTTATTGTGCTGTACCAACCACTGCCTGCGAGAAATTCCTCAATTTATCCGTCATTAAAAGCTTAAAAGCGTTTTGTTATTTTTAAATTTATTCGCAACCGGCGTGGGTATCAAAATATTGTTACAAAAATATACTGTGGATATTTATATCCAACAATAATGAATATTGAAATACAATTAAAGGATGTAAAAAAACAGATCGATATAATTTGAGTGTACAATAGCACGAGTGTCTGTACAAAGATATAGGAAAGGAAATAAAAATATTGTTATCATGACGTAGGAGAATCAAAAGTAAACAAAACAAAGCGTTGTCAGAAACAAGTGTCGATGAAATTGAGAACCTTTTCAGCGTTGCCGGAGATGAGATATAAACAAACATTTTCTCTCAGCTATTTTTTTTGTGTATTTTTTTGCTCTCATTTCAATCCCATATGATTTTTCCCATGCGCATGAGCTTTAAAACTTAACGAAATAAAAAAATTGTTTATCATCTGTAATTTGACGAAACATGCAGTATGCTTGATTCTCACAGCAGAGTTTTGTTGTTGCCGATACACAAAAAATATTGTACGTCGGGAAATGAACAAAAAAAAATATTTAACGATACTGTTGTTGGTAGAGACTGAATAGAATTTCCTTCATTCATCGAAATCAGTCGTACGGGAACATTGAGTGTAATCGGTAATAAAATAAAAAATATTGCGAATTAATTTTGCGGTGTGATAGAGAAGAAATATAAAATATTTAAAAATAATAAATGTAATATTTAATATTAATTAATAGTGTATCATATAAATTAAATTAGACATTATAAATAAGAAATAATAATCTCTAAATAATGAAAGTTAATAATTAAGATATAAAATAATAATAATAATAAAAAAAATCACCTGACTCAAAATAAAAAAATAATAAAAAGTTTTATTTTTCAAAGAGGTAGTGAAACAATTGCCAATTAAAATATTTATATGATTCGGAACAAGGAAAGAAAGAAATGAAGATTTATTTTTGGGAATTTTATGTCTACATATATCATATAACAACAGATCTTATTTCAAAAATAATTTTCAAACACGTCAGTTAATTTTAAGGCAATTTCACAATAAGAATAATTGCCAAAAATATTTATTTTTTTGCTGTACATACAATGTGGTACTAAGGAAGACATCAGAGTTGTTATGTTTATGGCTTGAGACTTTTGTTTAACAGGATGTGGTTGGAATATTGTTATTTTTAGAGATTGGCTGCAAGGAATAGAAATTGATCTTAAATTGATTTTCTCAGTTTCATAACTCTGAATCTGATTTAAAACAATCAAGTTTGAAGAACATTGTAGCTCCAAATTCATTTAATTGATACACAAAATTTCAATTTACAATCCAACAAAAATTTTTGTTTTTGTGTTGAACCACAAATTTATTCAATCAATTTTAATCAGTTCAATCAATAAGTTATTAATACTAGATTATTTTTCGACAATAACACTCAAGAGAAGAAATTAACTGAAAATTTGATGTGATTTTGGATTTATAAAAAGTTTTTAACTTATAGAACTTTAATTTTCAAAGAAATATTTCTTTAAGAATCTCCAAAATCAGACTTTAAAACAGACTAGAGTCAGTGTTTTTGTCCAGCTTATGTGATGTAGAAGATTCTTAGGCGTGCCGAAAATACTTGAAATTTTGAAAATTGATTTAAAACTCAATTAAAATATCCAAAATTTAATAAATAAATTTATTCACTTAAATTTCTGAACTAATCACTGAACTATATTTACTCGGCTATTGGTTCACTTAGAAACAGAATCAGTAAGAATCTAAAAATCTGGAAAGATTTTAAAAATTTACAATTTTTCTGGATAAGCTCATAATTTCCAAAAATAGCGGATTAATTTTACATTCTTCAAAGAAATTTCAAACAGTTAACGAAATATTTTTAAAGAAATAATTTAAATTCAAACAATTTATGAGAGAATTTTTAAAAAAGAATTCAAAATTTTGTGAAAGAAAATCCAATTCCATTCACTCCTAATCAAAATCTAATAATATTTTTCGTCACATTTTCTTTCCTTTAATAAAGCAATCAAATAATTTCCCAATCATGAAAATATCACTTATTCTATTTTTACGTGGATTTTCTCTTTACGTCAGAATAAAAATCAAAATTCCAACTAGGTTCTGCCAAAAATATAAAAGTTAACAAGCCGATTCACACAAAGACTTTGAAATATTCATATGTGAAAATAATTGGAGTGACAAATCATTCCATGTACAGTGAAATGTGAATTTCCACAGTTATACTCAAAAAAAAAGGAAAAGAATTATTGTACTGTGAAAATTTGAATAAAAATGAAGTAAATGAAAGAATAGAAACTTTTGATTTCTTTTCCATCAGTGAAGTATTTTGTGAAATATTAAAAAAAAAATTCATTCAAACCCAAACACGACGAAGAAAATGTGACGACTGAACAATTTAAATTAGCAACTTTTTTTTTCAAGCGAATGAAGAAATTCAACAATTTTTTTTATGAATATAAAAGTTTTCCATGTCAAGTACTCTAAAAATTGAATAAGAATGAGGGAAATGTGAATATTTTATGACGTACATGCATTCAAAAAAACAAAACATACATAAAAAAATTAAAGCCATAAGGGTAATTCCATGAGTAATGAGAACTGTGAAAAAGCACTATGCAATATTTCTC